CTTTGCGTTATTTGAAAGTCCTCATGTATTTGTCCTGCTGAGCCCTTCTCAAATTGATTTTTGTTTGTATCCTTACCAGAGTCTGGAAAATCTAAGCCCTGAGCAGCATCTCAGTTTCCTCGAATGATTACCCCAGGGCTCATTGCCTTCCCTCTGTCTGCAAATCGGGTTAGGCATCCAACCCACTCCGGAGAGGAGCTGGGACAGCTGCAGGCATTAGATGAATTCTCCTGACAGCACATAATCAAATTCAGTGGAGACGGCAGGCTTTTAGAGTCAAGTTGCTAAACTTGGCTAGAATAGGAGAAAACTGGGGTGATTGAATTTAAAGCATAGACCCAGATCGGATATACTAGTAAATGAAGAGTTGAAAACATCAGCATCATAACCTGAGGGGCCTGTGACTGTAGAATCAAGTTTGTTTGAAGACATGCTTACCTTGTGCTCTTGGAGACTCTGATGCAGACCTCTGAGTCAGGGCCTGAAACGACTCTCACAGACCATTGACTGGAGGCCTCAAGGCCACTTTCATTGGCATTCTCCCTGAATCAAAACCTGGAACCCTGAGACTAGCTTATTCTACCAGTCTCACATTCCTGCATGTTTGATCACATCACAAATGTATACCCTCATCCCTGCACTGGTCTGTTCTCTCTTTACTCTAACTTTTCCACTGTTTCCTTATCTATCCAAAACTTTGCACTTTCTACCTTTTCCTTTGAAACTCAGCTCTGTGGTTAATAATCTCACTTGGATCCTCATTCTCTGAGTCCTGCTTCCTTTATCTCTTGTCTTAACCGAACTATGCTTGATACATGATACTTAAATATTTGCTGAATAAAACAGTGAACTAAGGCCTAATGATCCTGGAGGCTACTACTTCCTCTGTTGCCCTCTAAGGAACTGCTTATTCTCTTACACTTCATTTACAGAAGGATCAAGAGGGGACAGCTTTCCTCCTCATTCCCCATGCACCTTCCTGGCCATTATTTCTCTGTCTCATCCTGGTATCTTCAAGATTTCAATATAGGAAGGTTTAAGATAGCAATGTGATTAGAAAGGAGAAGTGCCTAGGGGGGGTTGTCTTAAAGCTATATTTGTATTACAATAAGACTGTTGTTATTTGCATGCTTATTCCTCCTGGCTTTGGGAGTAGGAAACAAATGGACTCTATTGATGGGACTAAGCAGGTCCTTATATAGCCCTTGATACTACCACTGGCCTTAATGTGAAAAGCCCTGCTCCTTTGTTGCTTAGGCTGTTTTTTTTTCTTTTTACTTCCTACCTCCTCGGCACTTTCAGGTTCTTGCCCATCTTAGACTTCACGGCCCATCACTTCAACTGCTATTTTCTAATAGTCAAATCTGTCTTGTTTCTACCACCCTGTCCTCTTTCTGACCACTCTCATCTATCCCTGGGACTGGTACAATCATGGCACTTTACTTCTTTCACTCACTTGAAAGGTACCCTGTGACTTCAGGATAATGGTTACATTTCCTAACATGGTTTATATAGTCCCTTTCTAATCCGGCTTCTGCCTTCTTCTTCAGGTGCATTTCTCATGATTTCTCTTCTTACTCTCTATGCTTTAACCGTGATGAATTCCTTGCCATCCCAACATTTTACTTGTCCCCTCTTGCCTCCTGTCCTTTGACACACTCATATCTGGCATTCCAGGAGCCCATAATTTATTAAGAAGAACCATGGAGAGGAGTGTTATAGATAACTGAACTTGGAATCATATAGAAAGATTTGCATCCCAGCTCTGTCAGTTACTCTCTTGAGACTATAAACAAGCTCTTTAACTTTTACAAACCTCCATGACCACATGTGCAAAGTGGAATAACAATATCCACCTTGACAGAATACCTATGAGGATTCAATTGGGTACTGAATGAGCCCCAGAAACAACCCATACTAGATATGTCCTGTCCATTCCTTCCTTTCTCTTTTCCCTCATTCCTCCCTCAGTCCTTTCTTTCTTTACTTTTTTTTCTTCCTTTTTTTTTTTTTGTCTTTTTCCCCTCTTTGCATTCCACTTAATGTTTGGGTGGGATTCATAACATCCAGAGCTACAGGCAAGTAATAGAAGCCACTCTATGTACAGCATCAGTGTATGTAACCTCTGTGCTTCCACAGGAAGCCCATAGCCTCACCTCCCACCCTGACTACTTAGGCAGCCTCAGAAAGACACCAAGATAGAAACAAGATTCTGCAATAAATTAAGGGCATATTATAATGCTCTTGGAGCTCTTAACAATATTCCCCGGGTTGCCCTACCTGACACCAGCACCATTCTTGTTTTACTCGACCTCATCTCTTATACCTTCCTCCTCACACTTTCCTCCGTACGCACCTGTGCCCCTTGGCTTCTCAGTTGAATGCCAAGCCATTACAGGTGAACTTTACATCTCCACCCACTGTGTCAGAATCCTCTAAAACATATTTGCCCTTGAGGAGCTTCCAAACTGATCCTAACAGATAAAACTTAGGAAACAGTCAATAAAAAAGCAAGAATTGCTACACAATGTGGGAGCTGAACTGGCCTGGAATTGTCAACGGATGATCATGGAAAAGACACAGTTGGAGATGGGTTTGTAGGATGAACAGGATTTGAAGAGACAGAAATGAGAGGCATTCTCTGCAAGTGCGAATAGTTTGAATATCACAGAGCATGACAGAATGCAATGAACCTGTGAAGTGAGTGAATATAAAGAAGTTATAGGAATTATGACTAGAACATTTTGCCTTTTTCATATATGTGGTTTAGTGTTCCTTATTGGAGAATGAGCATGATGGCTTAGCAAAATTGCCTGCACAGCGTATTTTAAAGTAGTATTTCCCATAGTGATTCTGTGGAAAATTAGTCTCATGAGATATTCTGTAGGAAAATAATAATAATAATTTAAAGAAATGTTGAATATTCTTTCTTTCCTTGAATATTCACAATGCACATTATTTTATTTTAAAATTTCTGAATTAGTCTTGTAATACAAAAACCTGACTTCCCTGGAAAAAGTAGGCCTCCTCTACTTATGTCACTGTAACAACACACTCTTTATTTCTCCTCAAGACATTTTTAGAGTGCATAACTATATTGTATATTTATTTTTAGTATTTTATTGACTGCTTCTCCACTACAACATATACTCTGTAAGGACATACACCTTGCCTGTCTTATTTACCATTATATGCCAAGAATCTAGCATGGTGCCTGGCCATATAATAGGTGCTCGTAATAAGAATAAAGAATGAATAAAACTTTTTAATCTTTGTTTAATGTTGCATTGTTCAAACAGTTTATTGAAAGGGATAAGGCTGAAATTTGAACAAAGTGCTGCCAGATTTCGATCCCTTTTATCCCATAGATGGTACACGTTGTTGTCCTTAGCCATCACCTAGGGTTCTTGATGTTACAGTTTTTCTCTTGAACATTTATTCCTGCTTATTATCTTTTGAAGCTTGAAAAATTGTCTGATATGCCCGAATTTCTTTGCTTGTATCTTTCAGGCAAAGGCTGCCACCTAAAAATGTTTATTACTACCGCTGCCCGGACCATAGGAAGAATTATGTGATGTCTTTTGCATTTTGTTTTGACCGAGAAGAAGATATTTACCAGTTTGCTTACTGCTACCCATATACATATACCCGCTTTCAGCATTACCTTGACAGCCTTCAAAAGAGAAACATGGATTATTTCTTTCGGGAGCAGCTGGGTCAGAGCGTGGTAAGGCTCATTCAAAAACAGGCAGCCTTGGGGGAGGAGCTTAGTAGTGTGTTTTTATAGAATGCAAATAATGGCTATTGGTGCTTTGTAGACTATATGCTTTAGAACTTATAAAAATTATTGTTTTTATTGTGTAATTCTTTACTGCTATGCCCACCAGGGAGTCACAGAATAAGATATAAGACAGATGCTTATCCTTCTGAATGAAGCTGATCTAGCTCTCTAACAAAATATGAAAGTTCTGCTAATTTCCAAAAACTCTGAGAGAAAAGAAAGCCTTCTACTTGGTGCTACAAAAGTCATGAAAGCATTTTATGAGTGTGAGCCTCTGAGATGAAGAATAAATTTGTTTTTTACTGACTTCCACCTGCCTGCACTGCAGGTTATTAGCAAATGGTGTGAAGTTTAGATGTGCTGCTAACAATGTGTTCTGTCTTTGTCATCCATCAGTTCCCAATCCTTTTTTTCTTTCCCCAGGTTTAATTCTCTGGGTCTGGAGATTTCAGTCTTACATTTTGTATTGGTTTTCTATTGCTGACATAACAAATTGTCACAGATTTGATGGCTTAAAACAACACAAATTTATTATCTTACAGTTCAGGAGAAGTCTGAAATTAGTCTCAGTGTCCTAAAATCAAGATACCAGCAGGTCTGCCTTCTTCCTGCAATCGCTTGGGGAGAATTCATTTTCTTGACTCTTCTAGCTTCTGCGGGCTGCTTGCAGTCCTTGGCTTGTGGTTCCCTTCCATCTTCAAAGCCAGCAATGGCTGGTCAAGTCTTTCTCATGCTACATCACTCTGACACTGAATCACCCTTGTGATTATGTTGGATTCTCCCAGATAATCCAGAATATCTCTCTCCATTTCAAGATTTTTAATTTAATCATATCTGTGGAGTCCCTTTCGTCATATAAGGTAACATATTCACAGGTTCTAGGACTTGGGTGTTTCAGGAGGGGGTGTATTATTCTGCCTACTACACCCTCCATTTCTCTTTTCCTCTGTCTCTCCATATATAACCCAGTATTTGAAACTGTCCTTCACATTGGTTGCATAGGTTTTGTTCTCCATGGTCAGCAATACTTCAGTTGCTAGTAAAGTGTAAGTAGGTAATAATTTGGCTTTATGTTTCAGGAAGTATGGGTTGTGCCTCTGAAAGAGGCATATTGAGCACTTTAAAGTTCCTAAGTGAGGATATTGGTGGAATTGGCAGAAAATACTGTATTCGAGGTGCTGATATTTGTTGGTGGAAAAATGGACTCTGCCTAGTGACTGCGTGTTCCACCTAGAAATGAGTCCCACTTCTAAATAAAAGTTTTCAAGACTAGACTGCTTAAATGACATAGAGTCTGGTCCAGGATACCTTTAAAAAGAGAGAAAATAAAGAGGGCTCATGTATGGCTCAAGTACATGAGAGCCAAATCCAGTCTCAAAAACTAGTGTTCATGATGCTATTTTTACAGTCTGAAATTCTCTATACACTAAGATTTTGCTAAAGATCTTCCTTTTACTCTAACCTTCTTCTTAACGGTGCTTCTGATGGAAGCCATGAGTATCTGGTGCCTGTCTACTTTAAACTGAAATTGGGACACATGGTGTATCAGTCAGAATGCTAGCAGGAAACAGATGGCAACTTCACATGAGGATAATTTGAGAAGGCTTAATAAATGGG